TACATATATATATACATATATATATACATATATATATATTTCAAACCATTAATTGCATCTGAAGAAATGTGTTTCCTTAATATTTTTTTAAAGAAATACTGCTTTTCTAAAGATAATCCTAATCTAGTTTTCTTTTTTAGCCTTAAGATACACAAGATATTTGCTCAAACAAAATGGAAGAGAAAACCTAAGCATGTTTATATCTTAATCACATAAAAAAAACCCAATGTATTCTGAAAATGCATATAATGATAAATTATTGTTGTTAGATAACAAATAAATATGGAGAATATGTCTGGGCCACAAGAAAATAAATAATTTATCTTGATTTATTATTATTATTTATTTTTTTACAAATGCCATTTAATCAAAACAAGGCCTTGTATTTGTGATGATTGGTGTTCCTTCAGAAATGAGATAAATCTCTGCTCACAATGGCAGTGATATTCTCATTTAGCAGCTCATTGAACAAAAGTACTTCATCATTTTCTTATTGGCTGTAAAATACTTCAAGTCAAATTTGCGACACTCGGCCCAGACTCATTGGAAATGACTAATGATTGGGGCTGAGGCTGGAAAAAACGCGGCGGCGGCGGTGGCGGTGTCAGGTCTCCTCACCTCACACTTGTTTTTCATTTTTCTGTTCGCTGAATCAGAAAGAAAAATTAATATGCAGCAGGTTTCAAAGCAGACTTATGCTGTGTGGTGAAACAAAATCAGTCAAAAAAAAAAAAAACCAAAAAAAAAAAACCAAGTACGTGTTTGTTCCCATCAGAAAAATAAACAGTTTCTGTGGAGTTTGTAACTTCTGGGCTCCAGGTCCAGGAGGAGAGTCAGACTTCCTGTGGTTTTGATGCGGCCACAATCTGAGGTTCAATTAACCTGCAGCAGTGTTTGCTTCTGCAGATCGCTGTGTGGAACTCCTACCGAGGGATGAGTCTGATGGAGTCCAGCCGAGACAAGAATAACAATGTGACGGACTCTATGGCCAACAGGACTCTGATCGTCACCACTATACTGGTGAGGGCGGGGTGAGGGCGGCGGGGGACATCAACGTCAGACAAAAAAACAAAAAAACAAATCGATGTTGTTAGGGACATGCTGCATCTGGTTCACTAACCTTTTTAGTCTTCAGTACCTGTTCTCCAGTTCCTATTTTAATAAAAACCTAAATGATGTCTTTTTTTTTTTCGTTCTACAGGAAAATCCGTACGTGATGTATAAAAAATCCGACAAAGAGCTGGTGGGCAACGATCGGTTCGAGGGCTACTGCCTGGACCTGCTGAAGGAACTCTCCAACATCCTGGGCTTCACGTACGAGGTCCGACTGGTGGTTGATGGGAAATATGGAGCCCAGAATGATAAGGGAGAGTGGAACGGCATGGTTCGAGAGCTCATCGACCACGTGAGGATCACTGATTTTTTTTTTTTTTTTTACCTTTGCAGCAGCTAGCTTTTACGACAATCTTCTTCTTCTGTCTTCTTCTGCAGGTTGCAGATTTGGCCGTGGCTCCTCTGACCATCACGTACGTCAGAGAGAAAGTCATCGACTTCTCCAAACCCTTCATGACTCTGGGGATCAGCATCCTGTATCGCAAACCCAACGGCACCAACCCCGGCGTCTTCTCCTTCCTTAACCCTCTGTCCCCGGACATCTGGCTGTACGTGCTGCTGGCCTGCACCGGGGTCAGCTGTGTGCTCTTTGTGATCGCCAGGTGAGAGGTCACACCTGAGGTCAGGGTTCATGCAGTACAGATTTACCTCTTCAAACACATCAACATACTTTTAAACTCTTCATTAATATGTTTTCTAGATAACCTAGCATTATTTACCCCTATTTCTGGCTATCCTTTAGCATAGTTTTGTTTTGGATATTTTTAAAAGATAATTTTCCCATTTTTATATTGTTAAAATAAAACATCTCTGCAATATTTTTTAAATGCTAAACTAGGCTTCAGAATCCAAATTCAACACATTTTAAAAACCGGTCCAGAGCAGAAACCCTGGATGTTGACGGTTAGATGGAAAAGTGAGGGAGTTTCAGAGGATTTTTGGATAAGCAGTAAATCTCATGCAAACTGTTTGACTGTCGCATCATTAAGTCCACAGTCATGGCTGATTTGTCAGGGACGCTCAGAGAAACCTACGGGGGGAAAAAAATCTGCGTTCTCCTTCACTGAACCAACTTTCAATTTTTTTTGTAGTTGTTTAAAAAAAATATAAAAAATATGTTTCTATCTTCTGCCTGCTGCCAGTTCGACTTTAACTGTGGCTGTTGTGGAGGAGGAATAAACGGAGCTTCTTTTTTTTCTCTCAGATGTTAAATCTGTTGAAGCTGTTTTTGTCAAAACAAGGTTATTTCAGCGTGGATGCAGATCAGGCAGAAGTGTTGATTAGCAGCTGTGTGTGAATTGAATGGAAATTAAGTTGTGCACGTGGCCTTGATGAGACAAAAACATCATGTTTTTGTTTTATTTTAATCCATGGAAATGAAGTTGTGCACGTGGCCTTGATGAGACGAAAACAAATGTATCATGTTTTTGTTTTATTTTAATCCATACTTTTACCCACATGTCTTTAAAATATTGATTGATTAGTAATTGCAGCCTAACATTAAGTAATGTGATTTTTTTGTTTTGCTTTGTTTTTCTTTCTCCAATTCTTTGTTGTTTTATTTTTTTAATTTTTAATATTTTATTATATATATATTTTTTTCTAATTTTTAAGCAATTCTTAGGTATTGTAAAGTCTACATTTGTTCATATTGAGCTTTTTCTTTAACTGTTAAATTAGTCTTTCGTATTAATGGCGTTCCTGAGTTAACTCTCATGAAACATGTTTCACAAAGGTTATATTTGATCTTTTTCTTAGTAGTATTCAGCCATTATGTTGTTATTAACATGCATTATGTCATTATGTTGTTATTAACATAACAACATGATATGTTCTTATGTTAATAAACTATTTTAGTATAAGTAAATGCATATGTTAAACATGTATGCTAATTTTGGCTAGCTTTAGCTTTAGCATTCAAGTCTTAATTTAAGTTAATTTAAAGAACATGTATGCTAAATTTGGCTAGCGTTCAAGTCTTAATTTAAGTTAATTTATTCTTTTTTTTAAATCTATACCAAAACATTTAGACTTGGTGAGTATTACATATATTTTGCCTTGGTATTATACACATATACAAACCTATTATACTGTAATACTAGCTGTGTTTCCGCTGAGTAGACATTATCCTTTACTGTTAAGTCGAAGTCGTCTCGTTGCCTGAATCATTGAATCAACTCCAGTTCTACCTGAACGGTTTTGTCTGCTTCCTCGTTCTTTCTCTAATATTTCCTGTTATTTCGTTGCAGGTTTACTCCGTACGAGTGGTACAACCCACACCCCTGCAACCCCTCGTCCTCTCTGGTCCAGAATAATTTTACGTTACTCAACAGTTTCTGGTTCGGCATCGGAGCGCTCATGAGGCAAGGTAGGAAGCTGAACGTCTGAGTTGTTACCATGGATTTAATGTCTTAAATACAATAAATGATATAATTATATTAATCCATGACAAAGTGCTTGAGCCCAGATTATGAACGTGCAGATTAGGCAGGTCGTTCTACCAATGAATCCATTCAAAACAAAAGGGGATTATTCAAACACATCTGTGTCAGACACGACCCAAAGACCTGAACAGAACCGACCTTCATCCCTAAAAACAAATCTGCAGTTATTTCTCGTCGTTATTCTTTTCCTTCATCTTCAATAAGCGCTGTATTAAATTAGATATTGAGTCTGAAGCAGCGCCTCACTCTGGAGTGTGAGGAGCTTTTCATCAAACACTTGATGTAATCAAGTATCTTCTACAGAACAGAGTAAGTCGGCCTCATCCTGAGCTTCAAAGGAAACAAGAGTTGGAACTGAAACAACAACAACAACAACAACAGCAGCAGCAGCAGTAGTAGGACTCTCAGTGAGAAGAGAACTGACGGGATAAGAGTCCTCTTTTAAACCCTTCAAAGTAAGCTTTAAAAAATACCCCACGTAAATATTAAAGAGAAGTTTCTGAATTTAATTTAAACAGAGAAACCCACCCCTCTCCCTCCTTCCTCCCAGCACAAAAATCACTACTTATGAGATTTGCTATTTGTCAAAGAGCTGAAAAGGTCAGCGAGAAGAACTCCGTTCAACGGTTTTTAAAACTTCAAACTTCTGCCTGGTACTTTCCGATTTTTCTGATCTAGTCCCCTTGAAACGACTCCCACATCATGTGCGCAGAATTATGTGACAGTCCAGGGTGGACTTGACCCCCACCGCCCTCGAGGCAGAAGATTTGGGGAGGATCAGTGTGACACGCCTGATAAACTGACTGACAACAGCAGGAAATGGCTACAGAGGATGAAATGTTGTGATGCTGCTGACAGCAAACCACATTTGTCAGATTTGTCCGTTCTTCAGAGACGTGTCGGTTTTAATAAATGTGCAGACGAGAGAGAGGGAGAGAGAGAGAGAGAGAGAAAGAAAAGCTGCTAACGCTGTAGCAGCCCTCATTCTGACCTTAGGATTGAACTCTGATTATTAATCATTAGCAGTAGGACTACATTGACCTTGATAAAGAACATTTTGATCAAATAGCAAATTCAAACTGACAACTGAATAAGTGGGCAGATATACAGGTGAACGTAAATCCAAATATTTTTTTTATTTTTTTATAAAGCAAAGCAGACTGAATCTTTTTAAAAAAATTTTTTATAAAGCAAAGCAGACTGAATCAACTCAGTCAGTGAGAAACGCCAATGAAAACAAATGTGTTTTTAACAAAGATTTAAAAACATGTGGTGCCCGGCTCCGTCTGAAGCCCCTGAGCTTTAGCCTCGTCTGCAACACAACTAGGAGCAGCTGATCAGCTGACCTGTGTGTGTGTATTTTCCATCTATATTTACCTGTCCATTTATCATATTTGACACATATATAAACATATTTTTCCAATGACTCTAAACCTGTGGTTCCTCCACATTTTTGTCCACAGTAAACTAAACGAAATTTTTCTTTTTCTTTTTTTTCTCTGTTCGTCCTCTGTTGCATCATCCACACACACACACATATATTTTCTTGTCCGTTCCCTTATTTTGTATTCCGATCTATTTTACTCTCTGACTCAGACGTGTTTCTTCTGGAACTTTGTGTTTCAGACCAAACAGTTTCAGCTCAGGAAGAAAAAAAAAACCTGTTGTGAAAAGTCTGTCTGTTGGAGTTGAAAAATCCATATCTGTAGAGTGTTTCTAACTACACATTGATGTGTGTTCACCATCATTTAGCTTCTTACTTCCAGTCCTAATCTGCCTGGTCTCTCTCTCATCTGTGTCCTCCGTCTCTGTCTCTCCAGGCTCCGAGCTCATGCCCAAAGCCCTGTCCACCCGTATAGTCGGTGGAATCTGGTGGTTCTTCACCTTGATCATCATCTCCTCCTACACCGCCAACCTGGCTGCCTTCCTGACGGTGGAGAGAATGGACGCGCCCATCGACTCGGCGGACGACCTGGCCAAACAGACCAGGATCGAATACGGAGCAGTGAGGGACGGATCCACCATGACCTTCTTTAAGGTATAGATGCAGATTACTCCTCTTGGATTATGTTGTAATGACAGGTTGTATCGTAATTATAATATAATTTGGCTATTGTTTTGGCTAATATTTAGCCATTTCTGCTAAATTTTAGCTATTTCAGGGGCTATTTTAGCTATACATTTTATATATTTTGCTTAGGATATGCTATCATTGACTTATTGTCTGGTATTTATTTTTTAAGCATTGACTTTTTTTTCTGATTGTTACTTAATTAATTTGCCAAATTTTGGCTTCAGTTTTTTATTTAGGTTTTTATTTTTAGTATTTTACCATGTTTTTAGATTTTTTGTTTTTGTTTTAAATAAATACAAATGTCAATATCATCAAATGAGATTCATGTTTGTTCCCTGAGCTCCTCTTACTTCCTGAATCTTTGCCAAAGATGGTTTGAAAGCCACACCTTCAGACAGTAGTGAAGATATATTTACTCTCCCTAATAAAACACAGCTCCGATGCATCAAGAGATGAAGCAGATGAGGATAAAATGGAAATGCTGCCTTTTGGAGTTTTTTTTATTTTTTCTTGGTTTTTAGTGGATGTCATTACTGAAGGTCTGTTACCTCAAATGACACAAAGTGTCCAGATGTCCTGAGGCAGCTCCATCACTTTTCTTTCCCACACCTCCATTCTTCCTCCTCACATCCTGGTGCCTCAGCAGGAGTGATCCAGGCAGGACTTTATCCTCCCAGATTGCAGCCAGTGATTACGGCCGCCCGGGTAGAGAGAAGCAAGCTGTGTTGATGGCATGAACAAATTAAATCAGCTGGGGGAGATTTAGAGCACAGCTGTCCCATTTTTTGTTTCAGGCTGAGGAGAAGGACATTAAAACACACAATTACTTCAGGAAGAAAACTCCTTTATTTGAAAAAACAAACAAACAACAAAACAAAACAAAAAAAACACCAACTCACCTCTAACACGTGTAGTGTCCACATCTGTCTCTACCTGCTGACACCCGTTTGACTCCTTTGGCAGAAATCAAAGATCTCCACCTACGAGAAGATGTGGGCCTTCATGAGCAGCAGGAAAAACACGGCGCTGGTGAAAAACAACCAGGATGGAATCACCCGGGTCCTGACCACGGACTACGCCATGCTGATGGAGTCCACCAGCATCGAGTACATCAGCCAGAGGAACTGCAACCTCACGCAGATCGGCGGTCTCATCGACTCCAAGGGTTACGGTGTTGGAACTCCCATCGGTAAGAAGCAGGAAACGTTCTCTTACCGTGATTTCATTACAGTCGTTAAAGTACTGACTGTATTTACTAACAATGTGTGGTAATAGACCTCTACTTATATATGTGTAAATATATATATGCATATATGTGTATGTATGTATACATATATGTAGGTATGTATACATATATATGTGTATGTGTATATATATGTATATGTGTATGTGTATATATGTATATATGTATGTATACATATATGTATATATGCATACGTATATATGTACAGTATATATGCCTATATCTATATATACATGTGTATATTTGAATATATATATTTATGTATTCACTCTATACATATGTTTTTTATTTACATACACATACTCAAAGAGACTCCATTTATGTATACCGATTGAAGATATTTTAAACATATATATTTTTTACTTTTTCCAGTGATGTCACTGGACCAGTTTCCTCTAAAGCGCTTCATTTTTCACATTCTTCACAGACAGTCTACAAGTTTTGTGTTCGTTTCTTTCAGTGTCGCAGAGGGACAGATCCCAGGTTTAAATCAGTTGGTGACATTTCTCTCCGAGACCAAAGTTTGGACTCATTCTTTAACTTCCTCACACGCCCAGACAGAGCGGGAGACATATTTATGATTGTCTTTCTCACAGTTATTGCTCTCTCCACACAGTTAGCCTCAAAAGTTGGTTAAAAGATGCCATAAACAAGCACTTAGTGTACTGCTCAAATCACATCCATACAAAACCTCTTCTGAGGTTATTAAAAAACTTTCTGGGAGGAGCTGAGGACAAGAATGGAATTTCAATGTCTCTTCTTTTAAAAGGTGGCTTTGTGCCTCAAAAGCAAACTTCCAATTTCTTTTGGAATCTGCAGTTCTCCTGTTCTTCCAATATTGAAGTGTGCAGAGCAGTTGTCCCAGATCGTCTACTTGCAGATTTACTTCCTTTCAAAGCTCTGGCACCTGCTTTGTGCAAATGCCCACGTGAGATTTGGACTTGTTTGGAGGATTAAGAACCCAAATGGCCAGCGGCTGATGGTTTGCAGTAAGAATGTAAAAATAAGTTCTAAATATTGCTGTTCATAGTTGTGCAAATAGTTTTTTTTTATTTACTCACAATTGATTTAGTAACTATTAAACATGGTCCTGTTTAGTTGAACACAGCAGCCATTCACACACAGGAATTTAAGAAAGACCCACAAAGATTTTCTGTAACAGCTCTGGGTTGCTCTCTTTTATTTTTTTATTTTTATTTTTCCACCAATTGGAAGAGTATTTAATTGTTTTGCCTGTCATCGCTGCATAGACAAACAAAGACAAATTATTCGCAGTAATGCTAGGTTTCAGACCAATTATGTGAAATTGGATCGATACCAAACACAGACACAAACAACATTTCGTTTTTACACCTACATGTTGGCTTTTAATCTAATGTCTCTCTGGTGTCTCCGGACTGGAGGACGAAACCAGAGTTAGTAGAGAAAAAAAAAACCCACGCAAATACAGTTTGTAAAAATAAATATTGCCCAGTAATGTTCCCAAGTGGAAGTGAGGTTCACACCACAGATACTTCTGTTACTTCTGTCACAGATACTTCTGTTAACCCGCGGGCCTGCTGTATCGACCTGAAAATGACCAGTAAATAGCAGAAAATGTCCATAACTGCAGAGCGGGGAGTGAGCGGGAGGTTTGTCTTCAACAGAGTCCAGGAAACAACAGGAAGTTCTCACCACCGACCTGACACTGAGGCTGCACTCACGTCAGCACATTATTCATGATCCTGTTGATTCCACTTCTGCTGCTGTTGTTTTTTTTTTTCTTTTTTTTTTTGCCTACCTCTGCTCCGACTGTAAAAACAGAAAATATTCTGCCATGTTGAAAATAATGGTCCCTGCAGGATGGATCGGCACGATGGGCAACAAACAGACAGAGCCCTGCAGACGGAAAATGTAATGTTTTCTCATTTTGTCGCCTCCTGTTCAAGACTGTTGTTACCGCTCAAGTCGACTTTTATTTAGCGCTGCAGCAGCATCAGTGAACAACCGCCCCATGTTGAGAAGTGGAATGGACTGTAGCCCATGGTGTTTTGACCTGGAGAGTATTTTTTTAAGAATTTTTCAGTTTTTACATGACAGTTCACAAACTAAGGCCCAGGGGGCCGGATGCGGCACGTTCAGCTTTTTTAATCCGGCCCGCCAAACTTTTCCAAATGATATAATTTATTTTTATTATCAATATACTTCTGCCTTGTCCCTGCAATACCCACACTTCCCCAATAGATGGCGTGAAAAATGATAAGTGCGTTTTAGCATTTTAGCCTTTATGCATGACTTTTACATGTCATTCATCGACTAGCACGTAGACTAAGCTCATGCCTAGTCTACATGCATACTATTACAAAATACTGCAAAATTGTATTCAAAGTACTCTGAAGTGGCTAAATATCATCAAAAATTTAAATAATACCAATCACAACTTCCAGCCCACAGATGCTGGGATTAAATGTATGTAAAAATATATTTAATGATCAAAATCCATTAAAAATAAATGTAACAGTGCCCTGTCAAAAGCTTTAATTTCCTACACTGCTGTGATGTCGTTGAATCTGTGATTAGAGAAGGAAAAAAAATCACTTAACCCTCCTTTAATGCCATTAGAAAATCAGAGAAAAGAGTTGACGAGTGGGATATTTTCTGCCTTCATCCGCTGACACCCAGCTGGTTACCACACTGCAGGGGAGCCACTGAGCGTTGTACTTGAAGATGTTTTATTCATTCCCTCCCGACCTGTGCGGGGTACTTTCAAAAGCACAACGTGAATGCTAAAGTATTCTCACAGGGGCAAAATGAGTTTGGCCTCAGGCCACGTCACAACAACCAATCGAATTTAGACAAATCTCAGCCTGGAATTTTGTCAAGTAAGTGGCACGCAAAGAGGTCTACTTCAAAGTTTTTGAGAACAATCCACTGAGGAGAGATGAAGCACGTTTTATAAAACTACTTAAGAAAACAGTTCAAAGTACAATTTCTGTGTTTTAATCCTAAAATGTGAGCTCATTCGTTACAAACACAACAGCTGAAACCAAATGTGTCTGAGCTCTGTCGTTTTTTTTTTTTACTCTCCAGGCTCTCCGTACAGGGACAAAGTGACCATCGCCATCCTCCAGCTGCAGGAGGAAGGGAAGCTGCACATGATGAAGGAGAAGTGGTGGAGAGGTAACGGCTGCCCCGAGGAGGACAACAAGGAGGCCAACGCTCTGGGCGTGGAAAACATCGGTGGAATATTTATCGTCCTGGCTGCTGGTCTGGTTCTGTCTGTGTTCGTGGCCATCGGAGAGTTTATTTACAAGGCCCGCAGGAACGCAGACATAGAGGAGGTGAGTGTGGGTGAAGAGCACTTTGTATTTCAGCAGAATGGCAACAATAATGACAGGAACCAGATTCAGTGGGAAATCAGGCCTACAGGGGCTGCTGTTGTCCTGTTTTCACCTTTTGTTTTTTTTTTTTTGTAGTTTTGCATCTATTTTGATCTGTTTTTGTGTCTCCGTCCTTTTTTCTCTTTTTCTTTTTTTTTCCACTGCATGCTCCCATCAGGCCTTCTGTTTCTTTTACGGGGTTCAGTCCCGTCAGTTTCAGCGCCGCGACTCCGCCTCCTCGTCCTCCAGCAGCTCTTTAACTACCGATCTGGAGAGCGGCAGGCTGCTGGCTGATTACGCAGAGTAACCATGGCAACATGCTAACAACACAATCTCTAAACCAGAGGTTTGTAACTAGGTGTCTCCTCCCTACTGCCCCCTGTCTGCACCGCTGTGTCTGTATTGGTTATGACCTAACTTACTAACTACCATAACTAACTTATTTTAGGTTCACACAAACTGTTTCGACCTCTACAGTTCACACCGGTTGAGTAGTTATTCCAGCTGAAGGATTTTATTCCACGTGCGTCATTCCAGCCTCCGTAGTTACTGTGTACGTAAGCCTGTGGGAAATCAAATGATAGGAGAAGTTATTTAAAAACATTTTCTTCCTCATTAAACCGTGGTTTGGTTGGCTGAAATTTGGATAAGAGCGATGGAGGAAGGTGCTGAGTGAGGACGTCCCCTGACACAGACCTCCAGTTATCATTTTACACAGGAACGCTGCGGAGGAATCTGTGAGCGCGGCTAATGATGGAATCACCGAGGAAACTTGAAATCTAATGTCATTACTGCAAAACCACTGGAGTGAAAGAGGGAATATAGGTATTAAAAAAGTCAGCTTAAGTACTTGATCTTATCTCAAAGTCATATTTTCCACCATAAGCTAAGCGCTATCCCTAACTGTTACATTCACTGCTAACTTCCATCTGTCTGTGTCCTCTCACATTAATGTTAGTTTAATGGAATATTCTGGCTAACCTCAAACTATTCCAGGCCCTGCTTAGCACCTTTGACTCAATCGCCATTGTTACACAGTTACCTTGGTTACCGCGGCTATTTCTCATCTATGTTTCAGCTAACGTAGCCGATCGCTAGCCAGCGTTTAATTAATTAACGGCATTTGGTAAACTTTTATACATCTCAAAATATTTGGAGTATTTTTTTCTATTACTGTTCGCAAATTCAGCTAACATTTTTTTTTCTGAGAGGCTAACATTTCTATTGGTAACATTGCAATTATTATTTACAAGTACTGTAAATGTTTTCTTTTCTTTCTATTTTTTTCTGGGATATTTTTACTAATTTTAGAAGGGCTAACTTTTAGTTATTTTTTTTATAAAAAAAATTACATTTTTGCGGATTTACTTTTTTGTTTTTTTCCATCGTCATTTTTTTTATTTGATGTTTATACTTATTATTTTATATGTATATTGGTATATATATATATGTATATATATATAATTTTTTTTTTTACAACTTCTGTGTCCTGAAACTGTTTGCTAACAATTATTTTAAAGTCATCTGGACGACTGAGGGAGTGTCGACCCGACCCTGGTGTAGTGCTGTAATCCACCCAGTCTGTCCCTAATGTAGTGGCCATTTTTCCTTCTGCTTGTCTTTGACAGTGTGTATCTTTTACTGCCCTCATGGAGGAGTTAGGAATTTCCCTTCAGTGTTACCGGGGAATCCGGACAAGATCCCAACTCCGCGGTGGAGCTACTGCGACCTGCATCTTCTGTCAACCCAAACCTACCACCAAAAGTGAAGGACGGATTCAAGAAGCTAGCACTTAGTGCTGAAAACAAAGATACAGACACACACACGCACCACACACACACACACACACACCTCTGTGTGTGGCCCATTCAATGGTGAAGCTGTTTCCTAATGTTGTAATGTTGTATAGTCCGTTGGCCTTGTGTCAACATTTATTTGTTCAGCAGAAGTGGTGAAGAGGAGTACGAAGGCCGTGTCGAAGTCAGATCCACCGCCGTTCCCTCAGTGTTGTACTTCGTTGTTCTAACTGTGTGTAAATGTGAC